CCCCAGTCATGCAAAGGGGAGGGGAAAACAGAGCTTGGAAGGAAGCAAGACAAAAGGGAGAAGAAACAGACTTACGGGCAGTAGTAGGAAGGAAGGGGGAAAAGAGAAGCACTAGGGCTGACAAACCATACCTTAAAAAGCTAATTGAACAAAAGCATAACCTTGCTTCAGAAATACAAAACCTAGCAGAATGTGAGTTCAGCAGCTGGTCTCGTCATGTTCCTTTTTTTGGCATATAAGGCAGTAAGCATGGGGTCTCTGATATTGAATTTTTTTCAGGAAATATGAGACTTGTTGTGAAGGAGAGTTAATGTAAACCAGGACTTTTCCATGCTCATGTGACTCCCAAAGCTGGGGCTGTAAGCAGGGTGCCAGATTGGTTTGATTTAGCTGTCAGAAGAAAAGGAGAGGCACTTCTTAAGACTATGGGAAGAGACACAGGATAGACCATGAGCAGCCAAGATACTAAAATCTCTTTATCAGACTGTGTTTGCCCAGAAAGTAAAAGGTCTTTGAACAATGAGGAATGAAATCCATCCTCAAAATTGCCAAATGAATCATCATTCTTGTGCACAGTGTCAAAACCTTGTGCACTGGCAATGTGCAAAGCTGCCTTTTGTTGGGAAGGAACTGTGGCTTAGTGGGAATGGGCTTTCAGAGAAGAGCAGGAAAATGCAATTAGGGCACAGGCGGTTTAATCTGCATTCCTTACTGCAAAAGGTCATATCCGAGGGAAAAGAGTCTTCCATGGGGGAGCACATCTGTCCACAACCTCATTGCTATAGTACTTTCCATTGGCAAGTACATGATCTTTCTGGTGCCAACAGGAAGGATTAGAGTACAGCTTTGGCTGGAAAATATTTTTGATTGCAACCATCCCTTTCTCAGGAAATGGCCCATGAGCAATACCAAGATCTCCAGACAGAGCTCTGGGCAAAGGCTGTGGTACTCCTTGGTGGCCAATGACCAGTGTGCTCTGTGTTTGTAAGTAGGCCTTTTCCAGCTCAGGCATGTACACCTGCTGTCTGAGATGTCATTCTTTTGCTAGATTATTTTGACCCATGGACCTTAGCTGCAGTATATCAGATGATGTGCCTACTCATTCTTGCTTGGTGTTTCTCAGCAAGCAAACATGGTATGGTGGGTGGATGCAAAGCTAGTTTACATTTTTACACTACTTTTACTCCTCTGTAAATCCTACTCAGTAATGACTAATCCCCAAGTTGATTCCCTTTTCCCATTTGGATTATTTTATTTTAGCTAAATTTTGGTACTTGGTAAAATTTAACTCTTTAGGGTCTTCCTGTTGTGATTTTTCACATGCTATGTGGAGAAGTGGCTTGCTCTAAGGCAGTACCCCAATGGAGATTGAAAGACACATCCCTTCCAACAAAGCATAGGTATTTCAGGAAAATGTACTGAAAGCACAGACTGAAAAAGAAACTATGGCAGATACCTACAAGGAGCCAGGTGAGACATCTGTGTACAGGTGTAATATCCAGAGGAACCCACTTGTCCTGTGGCTATTCCTGAATCTTCCCATAACGTCAGGGACAGCTTGGGTCATGCAGTCTGTACTTAGTTGCCATCATCTTTATCAAGATCAACACTACCCAGGAGTCACTGGGTAGTGACTGGCTGAAGCAAACAGAACAGAAGAAAAGAAGCACGCTCATGTTAAGCTTCTCTGAAAAGGGTTGTGCAGTTCATTCCTGATGGGCTCTGGTCACTCTATCTGCAGCTCAAAGAATCAACAGACACCCTGAGAAGCCAGCTGGTCCTCAAAAAATTTGAAAGCCCTGCAGCAACATGAAGGAGCACAGGGTGAGGACAACCCCACCAACTCACTGCCTCACAGCAGGGCAGCTGCCACCTGTATCTCAACCCTGGCCAAGGATAGGCTTTCCTCTCCAGTGTATAGTGAAATTGCTCTGCAGTGCTGAGGGAACAGTGGGGCACCTCTTGCTTTTGCTGCAGCTCCCCTCCATTGGCTCACCAATGCTGAGGGCCAATGCCCAGCCTGCAACTTGATCCTGGCCTTGCTTTTTGTCTGCCTCCTACTCCTCATAGGATCATCAGGGGCCTCTGTTATGATCTGATCTGACTACCCCTCATACTTAACTGGGGGCTGTTGTTTAGGGATTTCCTGGCCAGCTACTGGTCCCCTGACTCCCTCTCTCTTTCAAAGGGTAAAGATCTTCCTACTTCCTTCTTCCATTCCTGGCAATGAGACATCAGCAATCATGGATTATGAGATGTTTCAGTTAACCCCTGTTACCGCTGAACAGGAGAAGTTCTGCCAGAGATGGGGCAGTGTGGCTAATTCTGCTGCTGATCTAACATCTACAAAAAATTATTATCAGTAACCTGTTTCTTCCTAGCAAGGTGAATCAAAAGTGAAAGTCTGAAACCAGGGAAGGATTTGCCCAGCAGCTCAGAATGGGAAATCAATGGGATTTCCAGAGAAGTAGCTTTGTTGGCACCATGTTGCCAGTCCTTGTGGTTTTAATCAACTGTCTTACAGGGTTGGTTTCTTTCCTAGGGTTCTTGCAGTTGCAATATGATTACTGAGTTTTCTCTTCTTCTTTTCATATTGAGGCAATCTTTACTTGTGGGAGCTGTGAAAGAAACCATGAGAATAAGAACCCCAGGGGCTCAAAATACCTATATGTAAATAAAGATTAGCACCACAGAGATTATTTTCAAAGCAATGCTTTGTTTTTCATCAAGAAAATACTTGTACCTGACAACCTCAGTGACAGAGAAAACCAGTCTCTCCAGACGTGACTGAAACTGAACGCAGCAGTTCCTTAGTATGTGGGCTCTTCTCCAGCCTCCCAGGCACAAACACAGCCTGCCTAACTGGGAGGTTTGGCTGATGCCTTGCTTCTTCTGGTGCTTCACTCTCCACTTGCAGCTACCAAACCAGGAAGCAATACTAAGGGAAGTTATGACTGTAAGGGAAAAGTCTGCTGGACTTCAGGCCTTTTTTTGGAATAGACAGCAGACCCAGAAAGCCTAGCTCCTTGTGTGGACAGGAGGCAGAACTGCAGAGCTGTACCAAACTGTCTTCTTCAGGCTGCTGCATGAGGAATTTAGCTCTTTAACGACAGACATATCTACCTTCCTTCCAGTTGCATGGCCTGTGAGATGCAAGAGCATTAAGGGGTTGGCTGGAAGGGATATTCAGGGGTAAGGTGTGAACTATTGCAGTATATAATCAAGTGATTAATCAAAATTTGTTTTATGATCTTCATTTTGGTCCTTACAGAGAACAGTAAGAAAGTAGGAGGGGAATGAACAAAACATCCAAATCCTGCAAGGAATAGAGAAATTAAACTAGAGCAGCTTCAGGTCAGGTTGGTTGGATGCTGAAGACCGTAGATGAGGTGAAAACATAAACTGTCATAAACCAGCAAACTGATGAGGCATATTTTGGGTCAACCTGCATTAAACTGATGACCATGTCCCTCCTTAAAGCCCACATGTAACTGCAACCACATCAGACAGCACCAAGCCCTGGCAACTAGATGGTGAAGAAGGCAGGAAGGACAAAAATGTTACCTTCCACTGTGGAGAGCAAGGACACATCCCATGGAATGATGGGAAGCCTATCCTTGAAAAAGATGGTTTACTCAGTAGTACTTGACTACCTTGTATTACTACGTGGATTACTTTCAGGTTTTGCTGTATCTCCATCATGGTAAAAGGAGAAATGAGTTTCCAGAATGAAGGCAGAAGTGGGAAGGGGTAGAAAACAATTCTTGACTCTGAAGCACGGCATATGCAGTGTGAAGCTGAACAGGTTTCCACGAAACATATTCTAGCCAAGCTATTACTAACACCTGATACACCCATAGTTCCCCATTAGTTACCTGCCAGCAATGAGCAATGGACTGAATATTATCAATTATGTTCCTTTCCCCTTTCTTTCTCTCCCACCAATTAATTATCTGTTAATCATGAGAAACAGTCCTCTACTTGGAAAATATCAGACCAACAAGGAGTTTTGCCAATAAAATGGAATATTATAGTAAATAATAATGAAATAAGGTGAAGCCATATTGTTATGCCACAGATTTTAAACACTGCTATTCAGCAAAATTCCTGGGGAAAGGTAAGCTGATAGGGTCTGCCAGCTGATGCATACGGGTAATGCGTGTCAGAAACAAAATGAACAATGAAGACTTGGTCAGATCAAGCTTCTTTGGTCTCACATCTATCAAGGCCCAGGTAAGCTGCCTTGAAAGCAGCCACCATTTCATTGTCCTGCCCTTTCACCAGGCAGGACTAGCTGCACAAAAAACAGTCCCTATAGGTGTTGGCCTGCCTTCAGAGGCCTCCCAGGAGAGGTTCCACAACACAAAATCCCCTCACTATTCACTTTGGCAAATTTCTTCTAGTGTAAGTCTCATTTGCTATCACTCTAAATCTAGCCATATACATTTCTCCAGTCATACTTAATCCAGGAAATACAATCCTGTTTTAACATAAATAAAGACTTGTATCTTCCTCAGTCTATCCTGTAGTCAAAATACCAGTTTCTTCAATCTTAATTTCTGGATAATTTTATAGTCTTGTCATAATTCTTGTGCCTTCTATCTAGCATTAGCATAAACAAAGAGAGACAAGATATTTGGATGTCCTCATGCAAGGCCATAGAGTACAAATGAGAGTATATTACACAGTTAGACATTTACTTTAGGAGTACCCTTTTTGTAACCCTGCAACCTGGCACAGCCTTTGATTTCACCTGTTCAATACATCAGCCCTAACATTGGACATGAGGGCTGCAATAGAAATCCCGATGGCAAGATCTGAGATTACTTAGGTACAAACAAAATTTACCTATGACAGACTTTTATGTGGATGCTGAGGCGACAAACATGTAAGATAGCACGGTACAGAGCAAGAGACTGAATCCAAGTTGTAGGGTACAAAATTAAACTCCTGCTCTTTTTTCCTGGTTTTGCAGTATTAATTATTTCTTATTTGCATAGGCTTCTCATGCGCTGAATGGAAATGAAATCGCCAGTTTACAGAAAGCACCTCTACTTACCACAGTGTCTAATGATGTTGTCTACATGGGAGCAAGACCTCGAGACTCCTATCTCCTCTAAGCCTCTACAGGTCCCTAAGATGAGTTGAAACATAGACTGAAGTTCAGCAGCGTCTTCCCCAGTTTAAAAACCCACTACACACAACAGGGAAGAAGGCAACCTACTAGGACACACCATCTCAGAGAAACAGGGATAGTAAGCCTTACTGCTCTGTCTCCATGGAATAAATGCCCATGTAGCTTTCAGTATGGGTCACTAACAGGTAGTTTTCTGTTTGGCTGACAGCTGGAAGCAGAAAATCTACCCAAAACTGCAACAGTACAACAGACCTCCTAAAAAGTCCTTTGGCAGCCTCGGCTGAGGAACTTTCAAGTGTTTAGCTGAGCTTTTCATGGCAAGCACATGGGCATCAGGTATAAGGGAAAGTGTAGTATATCCTCATCAACCTTTAAAACTGATTTAATAGCATCTTACCAATTATGCAATTACACATTTTTCCATAAACACTGGAACTGTGTACCAAAGCAGGCTACAAAGTTAACAAAAGACTTGGCCCAACTTGGCACTGGACTTCCCAGCTATGATTTGTCAGACGCCTCTTAGCAGAATGGATCACGTCTTCCTGATGCCCAGGGTCCTTTCATGACATGAATTAAGAAGAGCCCAGGACTGCAGCACAGACAAGTCACATCCAGTTCTTCCAGGCCCAATCTTCATCCCTCCTGTAAATTTAACAGCGACTATTTTGTTTGCTTACATTTGCATACACCTGGCTTTATGCTTTTGTTTGCTTGAGGATTGTTATGTGAAGGTGCTAACTGATCATCTCTACCAACTGGTAGTGCTCATGGATCTGATGGAACTGGTTGGACTGCGGACTGCTTAGGGAAGGACATCACAATGTTGCGTACAATATGCTTTTGGGACCAAGATCTTAGAAATTTTGTAATCTTTATTGTGGCAATCTTAAAAGATGAAAAACACTGAGTTATGTCTAAACATCCTGATCACAGACACCATGACAAAAATAGATCACAACTGCAGAAAGTTTGAAAAGTTTTGCAGAAAAGCCTGTAGAATCCTAGGAGACAAGAGGGCTATCTTGTCTCAAACACCGATAGCCAGACAGCTGTGGAGCAAGCCATGGATCGTTGATGATAACAGCCAGGAATTGTTGGTAATAACACACTGAGAAAGCAAAGGATGTGGCTGGAGAAGAGGCTGTAAGGCAGGACAGCACATTTCTGGGACAAATGTCCTTGTTCTGGCTCCTGGAGATGAGCACAACACAGCACAGCACAAGGGCAGGGATGAGGCTGCGAAGAGGGCATGGACTGTAAGAGGGGATCAACACCATCAGAGATGCCCAAAGCCTTCCGACCCATTTCCAGAAAGTTCTAGAGGAATGAACTGCACAGGATTGCTAATTTGCATAGAAAGTGAGAAACTTATCTTCAAGATGGGTAGACTTATAAAAGGTATTCCAAGCAAGCCCACATGTGTCGCCATTCCCAGGATACCCCTGCTGGATCAGTGCTGGAGCTAGGACTGGTGATCTCTCTTTCCCTCTCTCCTTCTTTCTCTCCCCCTCTTTAATTTATTTCTGTCTTTCTCTCTCCCATTTCACCCTACCCCGCTGTTCAAAACCCACTGCCATGTCTTCACAGAGGAGATCAGGTCCTAACTTATACCAATTTCCATGCCAAGTATGTAATTTACTAATAGAACTTTGTGAGTTTTTGTGGACCCTCTGACTTTTGTCATTTCTTTTGACCACGAGCACCTGCAAATCTTGTCTACTGCCTTCCCCTCAAGGATGGGATACCACAACTTTAACGCATGGAAGTGGAAAAGGGAAAATAAAACAATATTGCATCTAGATACACAATAAAATAAAATAAAATAACCCAACAGAATCTCTTTAACAGCAATTTATTATCATTAAAAGTAACAACAAGTAATTTTAAATTTTTTTGTCTTAAAAATCTAGTGTAACATACTGCTACAGTTCTATGAAACTTACGGCAAAATTGTATCCCCAAACCACACATTGTGCCTGATTGTCACAGACATCAATGGTGTGGCAGACAAACAGCACAGAAATGGATCGCTCTATACAGCGATGATCATTAGGCCTCAAGATGCTACAAGTTATTTTTTAAGAGCTATTAAATATAATTTTTGTTTTCCTCTTTTTTTCATATTGCTAGAACAATCAAATATTTCACATAGTTTTTGGTGCCCATGTGATCTTTTAAGAACTGTGTTTTAGCCCCCTACATCTTCCTGCCATAGTTTTCCTTTTTAAAATTTTCCCCCCTTAGTGACACACCCACCCCACCTCAGGAGACAAAACCACAGCCATGTTTGCAGTCACTGCACACAGCATCACATATTTCCTTTACATCCTAAAGCCACTGTTCAGCCCTAACCCTTACCTTTCACATTGCTGCCAGAACAACTCGGCAGCACAAAGTTCAGGAATACTACATGTTCATATTTTAATCTCCAGCTTCCTGGGAGCTCTAGAGCTTAGGTTAAGCTCAAGCTAAGTACCCAAGATAGCTAATTCATAGCTATTTCAGATTTGTGGAAAGGAGCAGCAGCCAGACGTTGCAGGACAGAGGCAGCTTCACATTACACAAAAAGACCTGAACAAGTCGTAATACTGTTTATCATTTGTTTGCAGGACCAAAAAAGAATATCCACAAGCAAACACACATATCGCTGAAAAAAACAGTCCTTATTCTGTCAAGCATTTAATGTGCTGAATTTAAGATTACAATGCTGTTCAACACTCAAAAGTAAGCAAAAGCCTCTGAGTGAAACCCTTCTGGCCATCAGATATGTACTGAAGAAAAAGAGCATGGGGAAACTTCATATAGTCTTTCAGATGTGGTTTGTGTATGACTTCAGATACACAGGATCCCCTTGGATGGGATAGGGAATTTCCACATGAACTTCACAGTAGCATGTGGAATTGAGAAATTCAAAGAAAACCAAACAGTAAGCAGCTTCATGTGCATTTATATCCATTCTGAATTTAGAGAGTCATGGGAAAATCATAATCATAAAAGCATAAAAGTATGGATGAGGTACTAGATCAACAAATCCATGAAAAAACCCTGATTACACTGTTCCCTAAACAGACCTACAATTTAAACTCCAGGAGAAAATAGGGTGTTAAATTTACTCAATGAAAAAAAAATTTTTTGGGTTTGTTTTCAGCCAGATTTCTTAGGAAAGAAAATCCCCAAACCAAAAACAATACTTAGAGCAAAACTGTGAAATCCTGTCTTACATAACATCTTAAACTACTGTCTTGCTTTGTAAATGCACCTAACAGTTTATGAATATCTCATTCTTACTCAATAATACCTTAAAGAGTTTTGACTGAGGTAGCCACTAAAACATCACCATACATAAGCAATGCCAACACACAGGGAAAAGCTCAACCAAGACGCTCAAGAAAGTTAGTTAGCATTTGCTTCCAAAAATGTAATTTTCTCTCTAGTGCTCTTCCTCCAAACCTTGCTTCACTTCCCTTTTCTTTTCTTGCCTATCTCTAATAGACAGCAACAAAGAAAAGTTTAGCTTTCCAGTTAATTTGTAAAATGTCCTTGGATTTCCAAAACTTAATTTTCAAATGAAGAATCAGTGAATTTAGTTTTACACCAATGCCATTTAGAGCACTGACACTGAAGGAAAATCTGCACCCTCAATAACTGACCCCTGAGGTTTCAGCTCTATCATCTTCCTGCACATGCCTAAGTGCTAGAAGCTGTGGAAAGACACCTGCAAGGGGAAAACACAAAAGCAGTGAAAAGGTCCCTTTCATTGTAAGTCTCATCTATACACGTAAACACACAAAGAATCACCTGTTAATTCACTGTCTTTCAAGTACTCAGGATGTTAAATTGCAATTATCATTCCTCCAGCTAAAAAGTACAATGATCTGTCATATCCTGGACCTTTATTGTGGCAATCACTGCTCACAATTAAAGCATTTTCAAATTACTTGTATAGCTATGATAGCCTATGCTCAGATTCAACGTGAAAAAAAAATCAGCTTTAAGGATAATTAATAGCTAGGTATTTTTGAAAACACTTTCGAAATTTTTTTGTGGTCCCTTATCACAGACTATTTTTCAAAGTAATTCAGAACCCCTATTATCAACATCCAAATCAAACAACCAATCAAACAAGAAAACTCCAACAGAAAATCACCTCAATATCTATGTTGTTTAGTACACATATATTGCAGAATGTACATTTGGCTAAACATCTATACTGTACACATACATGTACATGTAGTGTAAACATCCAGTTCTGACTTCTTTTTTTCAACCACTATTTGGAATTTGAGTGTCTTCTCCAATTGGTCAAATATTTTAATGCATCTGCAGAAATGCAAAGCTGCATTTCAGAGACATTCTGCACTGACCCAAAGCAGCACAAAACCTCTGCTTCTAAGATACACACTTACCAAATGAAAAAGTCTGAAGAAAAAAAACATGCTCTCACTTAAGAAAATAGAGCACTAACAAGTGTGACGTGCGTAATACTGGTTTCCCAATGTAGAGCAGACATTTTGTGTATATTCCCAAATATAAAAAGAAAATTATACAAATTGCATGCAACTGTAAATAGTGCAGTTCAAACAATACCAAGGTCTTATCCTTATTTTTGAAGCATGTGGACAACAGCAAACTGCAGGGTGATAATTCTAACATGGTCCTTGGGTTTCTTCTTCCACAGAGACAAACAAAGCTACTTTTATTTCAAAAAACTCTAGCCCACAACAGGAAGACATCAAACAATTTAGCCATGATAACTGTACTGTGAAGAATTTCTGAATTTTCTTACACATCTAGATCACACAACCGGGCTTATTGTTTGAAGCACTTTGCTGGAACTCCTTTTTCACAAACCACAACACACCAAAAAAAGTGCTTCCTGTCTTGATTACACACAGTTGTTCATCAGGTGGAAGTAGATGAAGGTGGTTTATTACAACATTATGAAACTATCCTCATCCTTACGAAGCATATGTAATGCACAAATTAAAGATTCCAGTTAAGCATCACCATATACTAACCCTTTATGTTTGTATAACATAACCAGCTACGAAATTGTTACTACTGAAATCATACACAGGCACCTTGCTATATCATACTTACGTTATAGTTTTCTTTTTAAAACATTCCACAACTGACTCTGCTTTTGAGTCACTTTTGTCCATTTCATCTATTTAGACGCTGTGTTACCACTTCTCTGTACATGATAGAGATATATATCAGCAGAAGAAAAATGACAAAGAAATCATCCAAGAACCCCAGAATTCCAAACAGAGCTTCAGGAAGAAAATCCAGAGGTGAAGCCAGGTACAGCAAGGCTCCAATCAAGCAGAGGAATATTCTGATGCGAAACATCCAGAAGAGGCCCCCTACAGAAAACATCTCCCTGAAAGCATGTCGCAATAAAGTGGGGAGATCCATAATTCTTTCCATAATCTATAAAGAAAGAACCCAAAAGTTACTATTTTGCTTTAGCAACTCATCCATGCTAAACTGAAGTTTCTACTACTACATCACATCTTAGAATCTGTTAGTTTATAGGAATTAGAACAAAATCTGGGAAGAGGTAATGAGTTCAGTTTTACTGGGTAGAATGTCAGATTAAGAATACTTATGTTTTCAAGAAACAGTCAAACTGTGTTATTCTACAATGAAAAACACATTTAATATACATCACTAGAAAATATACTGGCATCTATTATGAAGGAAAAGCAATAAATACTAGAGGAAAACAAATGACTGGGAAAGTGAGAAACAGCAAACAGGTTAACTGGAGTGAAGTATTGATCAGAATACAAGACAAACAAGGATTGCAAGAAAAAGCCCAATAGATAAAGTAGAATAGGTCAGAGCTTTTCAGAAACACAATACCCCCTCTCCCGGTGTATAAACCAGTGACTCACACAAGTTTCCAAAGGATGGATGAAGCTTCAAAGTAAATTAAAGAACCTTTAAATTAATCTATTCCTGGCTCCTTTCCATTTTGCTACTATGATTCTGCCAGTTTAGCAAGAGACTACTCAATAGAAAATATTCAGGTTTTGCTGTGATGAGTAGGGAGGGGTGCACTTTAAAACTTATTTTATGCTGGTTCCCTTTTATGGTACACAGTTCTACATAGAGCCATAAAACTCCATTAAAATGAGTTATTGCCATGGCTGAAAAAGTTTTGGAGAAAGACATTTTGTATGTGGTAACACTGTGTATAAATCAAAGACAATTTATCTAGTCCAATTAGGGTTTTAATGCAGATTTCTGGCATGACCTCAGACAGGTTACTGGGGACTAGACACAGCTCGCAGAGAGGTCTAATAGAGCTTGAAAAGTAGTTTCAGTCTCTTCTGGATAAAACCTGTACATTTTGTGGTTTAGAAAAATACCCTTCCCTCTTCTGTCTCTTTGTACTGTAGATTTTTTTTGCTAATGTCTTCTTGCTATATTCAAATCCCATTAAAAATTAAGAGAAGCAGGGAGGTTACTAGTATGCATGTGTGTGCATTTCACCTTGTGAAACAGGACATGTACACGGGAGACAGGCACGTAAGGCTGATTTTCTAACATTTTCAGAACTTTGACTACCCCTCTTAGCTATTTACAGAAAAAAAAATCTGTTTTTCTTACTCATAGAGGAGAATAAAGACTGTAATATAATCTAGGGGAAACATGAAAAAAAATGCAGACAGCATATAGCTGTCTGAGGAGAAAGGCACAAAGCAAAACTTCAGATTCTTCTAATCAGTGTAAAGAGATCAATGAAGCGAATATTCTTCCTTGCAGGTCATGTATTTCATTAAGTATTTTTACTGACTAATTCTTGATCCTTTCAAAATATCTAAAAACCAACTTAACACATGAACACTTGAGAAAACTCAAGACTTACTAGATTCTCACTCACAACAAAAGAAAATTGAGTTTCCGTAAATTTTCATAAATGACAAATGAGTAATTTTGAGGTCTTGGGTTTAATCTAACCATTTCACCATAAATTTCCTAAAGGAAAGTTGTCTAGGTCCTGTGTATCAGGAAGAGAAAATCCACATTCCAGGGAAAGAAACAAAGAAAGAAGGGGGAAAAAACAAAACCACAAAAAAATTGCTCTCAAACTCTCCTGACATCACTGACTTCCACACAAATTTACCCAAAACTTACGGATCTGGGCTGTCCTGAGAATCTTCGATTGTAATCATTAACATCTTGAAACACTTGGGCTGCACCCTGCTGATCTTCACCAAAGAGTGGTAAGAACAGTGTTACCTAGGCACAGGAGGGAGATTATGTTAAACATGCAACTGTAAAACAGTCATCTTCAGTTAACTACATAGAAAAAACTTTGGTTTGGTTGAATAGTTAATAGGAGAATAAACTGAAAATTACTAGCATGGATACTGCTATTAAATTTTAACTAATTAATAGCTTACAGCTCCTTACAGAATATTAATTTTAAAAGAGATCGTTTAAAAAGTGCAAAGTAACCTTCCTTTTAAGAGAGGCTTATGTTTTTTTCTAAACATCTAAGTGCTTTATGTTTCATAAGTGGGACAGATGATTTGGAGAACTAAGCTAATTTACCAAATTCATCTAATTTTGTTTCCTAAATTGAAAATCAAATAAAGCAATCAATGAGGCCTTTCTTTAACTATATTTAGAACTGCCTTTCATGACAACAAACATGCAGCAAAACTCAGTTTTGCATATGGCTCTTCATACCAAGATGAATTAACAGAAGAAGGTATTAACCTTCAGGTCTTTTATAAGGACAGATAATTTTGCTCTGTTCTTAGGTTAAGTTTCACACAAACATAGAGAAATAAGATAAATGTGAATATGACCTTATGTATGTTATCTTTCTGCATAGGAGTTGCTGAAAACTTCAGACTTCTTTTTGAAGCAATGCACAGGTATAAAATGCAGATTATCACAGGAAACAGAAGGCATAGCACTTGAAATTACTACAGTCTTCAGAAGCTTCCTCTATACTTGGCAACTAAATATAAATCTGTGTGGCAGTCACATTTAGAAATGAGAGCATGAGCAGATCTTCATTCAACTTCTGGTCCTGCCACAAACCTCTTGTATGACTCATGTTCATGTGTACATCTTTCCCTTCCCCATTTACAAACCAGGGTGAGAATGAATACATAACCATGCAAACAGTGCCACCTAATACACCTGTTACTCAGAGGAAGGTAAATGAAAATATATATAAGGAAAGCCATTAAAATGATCACTTATTTTCCCCTTTTCCAGCTTCCCCACCTTTATTATTTGTATCTTTTTCCTCACTGGCTACACTCTAAAGCTACTCATTCTTCCTCCAGTCATATCTATTTTTCTTTCCTTCAACTGTCTCCTTACAGTCATTTGTCCTGCTGATACACACAATCAAAGCAGGATATAATGGAGGGGCAAGGGCGTGAGTTACATAATTCATTAGAAGTTGCTAGATCTGTAGTTTGTGCACTGTTAAAATAAAGATGTACTTTTTTTCAATCACACGCTATCAGACTCAGAGATCCTAAGCCTTAATGTGTTGCAGGAACATATTTCAAATTGACAATGTAAGTAAGTTGCGTAGGTAGTAAGCTAATGCTTGCTCTACAAAGACAAAATTAATAATACATACAAGTTAAAAATAGGCCCAAAATAAGAAATAGATAGGTCTTTTGGTAGAGACAGAGGGAAGGGAGAGGGTATTTCTTAGGAATCAGTAGTGTGCTGCTAGTGGCAGTCTACCACAACCAGGCCTTTCAGATGCAAGTTCTGGTAAAATAAGTTAACATCCTGAACAGAAATCATGA